ATATCTCCAGAGAAGGAGACTCCACAGCCTCCCTGGGCAGCCTGGGCCAGGGCTCCGTCACCCTCAGAGGGAAGAAGTTCTTCCTCATCTTCAGCTGGAGCTTCCTCTGCTTCAGTTTGTGCCCATTGCCCCTTGTCCTGTCGCTGGGCAGCACTGGAAAGAGTCTGGCCCCGTCCTCCTGACACCCACCCTGAAGAGATTTAAAGGCATTTCTAAGGTCCCCTCTCAGCCTTCTCTTCTCCAGGCTGAACAAGCCCAGCTCCCTCAGCCTCTCCTCGTAGGAGAGATGCTCCAGTCCCCTCCTCATCCTCGTAGCCCTCCGCTGGACTCTCTCCAGTAGCTCCTCAACCCTCTGGCCCCAAGGCTGTGTGCGCCAGCCCAGCGGTCTCCGTGCTGTTTCCTTCCCCGCAGTTCTGTTTGCCAGCCTATCTGCTATTTATCTCCATTTCAGAGCCCTATAAAAGCTCCACCGTTACATCAGAGAAATCCAGCAAAGCTGTGTAACACTTCCCAGTTAGTGTGCTGATTGATCTCTTAAATACTGCCGTTAGAGGGACTCCTGGAAAAGCACCACAGGGACTGAAGAGGGGACAGGCTTCCATACGTACTGTGACACCACGTATCTGCTGTCTGCCGCTCTGCCCTGCTCTGGAGAAACCCCCCCAGGAGTCCTGCGTCCAGCTCTGGAGCCCTCAGCATAGGACAGACCTGGAGCTGTCGGAGCGGGCCCCGAGGCGGGCCCAGCAATGATGCTAGGGCTGGAACCCCTCTGCTGGGAGGAAAGGCTGGGAGAGTTGGGGCTGTTCAGCCTGGAGAGGAGAAGGCTGCGGGGAGACCTTAGAGCAGCCTGTGAGTGCCTGAAGGTACAAGAAAGCGGGGGATGGATTTTTTACAAGGGCCTGTAGTGACAGCACAAGGGGTAATGGTTTCACACTGGAAAAAGGGAGATTCAGACTAGATATAAGGAAGAAATTCTTTACAATGAGGGTGGTGAAGCACTGGATCGGGTCACCCAGAGTGGTGGTGGATGCCCCCATCCCTGGAAACATTCCAGGCCAGGTTGGACGGGGCTCTGAGCACCCTGATGCAGTTGAAGATGCCCCTGCTTACTGCGGGGGGCGGGGGAGGACTAGATGACCTTTGAAGTTCCCTTCCAACCCAAACCGTTCTATGATTCTGTGATTCCATAAACATTAAACTGTGTGCTATACCGAGAATATTCTCTCCAGTGCCTGTGTGAGGTGCCCCGTTTCTAACAACCAGCCCCCCTGGCAGGGACTTGCACTGCGCCTTCCTGCCACAGAAGCATGGAGTGTAACGCAGCCCCGTTCCTTCAGAAGAGAGACTGGAGTAACATTTGAAGCAGAGTGACATGGAAAGTGGACATACTGCTACACGTAATCTTCCCACTGGAGCAGCTGAAGCTGTATGACCCTGTGTAGGGGTTGTCCGCGAGCGATTTGCATGATTCCAGTTTCTTTGCCTTCGTGTAGCATTGGTCATGTGCTTCACAGCACCTGGGAAACAAGGAGGAAAAGGTCAGAAAATACCAGAAATGCAAACTCATCTGACCTGTAAGACACGTAAATATTCTAGTATTGCTTCGACAAGGCACTGAACAAAAAAAAAAGATACCCAGTGATAAGAGGGCAGACATGAAGGACCTCAAAGGGACACAGTTCTGCCAGCTAATGGTCCAAGAGGAGTCTGGTACACGTGTACTTACTGGAGCATCTTCACCACTGTCTACTGGGTACAGGGAAAGCAAAAGCCAGCGTTCACCCTACGCACCCCATCAGTGCCTGGCAGCTGAAGAGCTAACAGCTGACACAATTCACTGCGTCTTGGCTATCAGTCTTGTGTCATGTCTAAACTGCCCAGGCCGCTTCTTAGCATTTTGCAGCTCAGCCCTGCATGTGTTGATGGTTGTGTACCATGCAGAGCTGCATCCGGGCTGCTGGCACAGCACTGCTGCAAAAAAAATGCCAGAATGAGTGCAGTGTAGCTGCCACAGAAGAGAAAACAAGAGTTGTTGGGATTATATCTTGTTTTAGTAATAAGGCATCAAGGTGTGATACCACACATCCTTTTTCCCTTGAATCAGTCTTTGAGAGAAAGCTTCATTCCCAGCAGCCGGAAAGTTTTGTGAACATTTATAGGCAGGGCAAGCTGAGACGAAACTGGTGTGCAGAACCGTAAAACCACAAGCAAGCAAAGAGAGTTGTAAAAGCTTTGTAAAAGCAGAGTCTTATAAACCTGTCAAGCTCATCCACCGCGGTCCCTCCGCCTCCCAAGCCGCAGTAGCAGCCGTAGTCGGCAAACTCCAGCAGAGGATAGCTGTCCGGTATGGTGCATTTGATCATGCTGCGAAAATCCCACAAGGCCCGGGGTTCGACAGCAGCGCAGGCTGTGCCCACTGAGAAGACACACAAAGGTTGGAGTTAGGCATGGTGTTACCAGTCCGGGGGCGCTGGGGCGGCGACCCACCACCCACGCACCAGACAGCAGGAAAAGCAGGGCCAGGGACTTCATTCTCGGAGGATCTGATAGACTGCTGCTGAAGAAAAAGCGGCCCTTTATACGACAAGCTCACCTTGACATGGGTCTGAGGTAAACAAGCCAGTATTTATGTTACTAAATGCAGACTTCTTCCACAGAGGCTGTGGGCAGCAGGTTGTGTGTCGTGACCAGTTGAAGGCCAGTGGGGTTCAATCTCCACAAGTCCAGAAGGCAAATATTTGTCCTCTAGATTTTTGCTATTAAATTCTTTTAATGCTACTGTTAGAAGCCAGCCTGAAAGATCCGGACATTTTTAAGGGCTCTCTACTAAAAAATAGTAGCAGTGTGGTAGTTAGGTTGGAAATTGCTGGCACACTAATATCCATCCCACTAATACTGGCATCCTCTTTTTATGGTATCCCACTTATCATTAATCCTGTATCTCTCCACGGACTCTTCTGGCCTAACTCAGAGAATAAGGTACAAGTCGTCCGCTCACCCCAAATGACAGTTTAGCATGAGCTGAACTGAAAAAAATTCAAGCTGTTTTTTACTTTGAAACCATAGAGGAGAAGGAGGTACTACTAGGCAAGAAACAGGAGCCAGGCAACCTGGAAAGCCGCTGTATCTGGCTTGAACAAGGAATAGGGTCTGTTTTACACGACCTGAAGGGAGTTACACTGGAAATGAACCGGGCTGAGAAGGTTCAACACACACAGCAGACCTCAGCAGCTCAGCGACTGCAGTTTTTCCTTCACCAGCGCCAAAGCAGAACCCAGTTAGGCCCTTTGGTTCTCTATGCCGAGGTGTAAGGCGAGTTGGGAACTTTGAAATAAGATCAAAAAATGGGTAAGAAAAAAGCTGCCTGGAGTCAGCCAGGGGTAAGTCCAAATACTGCACTCGTGTTCAGACCCCAGAGGCTCCAACACTGTCAGGGCAGCAGCTTTGGCATTTTTAAGATCCTAGACTGTTCACTTGATAGTGAGGCTCCCCATTTATTTCTAAAGCACCAAGCAAGCCTTCGGTTTTTAAGAGCAGAGGAAGAGGCAAAGCCCACCTTTCCGCAACAGCCCAATATACCAGAGTGCTTGTTCAGGAAGCTTAGGGTTCAGCACCCTTCAGCAGGTTCAAACGCGTGTTTCTATACAGGACAATGAGGACATCTTCCCCCTTGCCGTGGCTGAATCTGTGGCAGGGTGCCCACAGTATCCACAGGATGTCGACACAGATCCGTAGGGCATCTGGTTTTCCAACTTTTTTGCTCTCTCACAAGCTCTCCGATTCTCTGGGATTCCCCACTCCCAGGTTAGCTAAAGCCAAACAGATGCCAAGTTACAGACTCAAGATTCTCGTGTGCTAACAGTGAGAACACTGAGCAAACATTAACAGCTGATGTAAAGGTCAGTCTGTACCACAGTTAGTTCGGAAAAAGGGATTTAATCTTTTACCCGCAGATCAATCTGCTGACTTTCCCTTCAGTATCCATTTAAGTGTTCTCTCTCTCCTTTGCTACTTTGGCCACCTTTACTCTTTACTGTTTCTCTGTTATCTTAGCTGAGAATCTTAAGACTCTGTGGTTCCTTTTTCTGCACTTCTCAATGTCTGACCTGTTGTTGATGTTGCCAGGAAAATGTCACAAATCAAAAATACTGTCATATCTTTGATTTCATATGTTTTAATTCAACAAGGGGATCGCGAAGTGTGGGAAAGCGAGCATGTGAGCATTACAAGTGCCTCATCAGAAAAACCCCAGCAGGGTAGATTTTTCCACCAATGCTATTTTTGGTTTCCCCCGGCCTGTGCTACATACAAAGCTGCTGGTCCTCAGTACGCTTGTGAGGATGTCCCAGCTTACAAGTGGTTCCTAAAGGCTTGAGCTCTCTCTAAGAGCTGCTGCTCAGGGCCCCTCACCCTATTTTACACTGTTCTAATTTACCTTTCTCTTGTAGTGTTGTCTGTTAATGGCTTTTCTTCCCTTCCAATCTCTAGGTTTTGTTTTCTTAGATCTAGCCTCCTTGATCCACCATAGTCATTGAATCCAGAGCATCTGAGCCAAACTTCTAAGCACTGCACTATCGCCTCCTTTCCTGAACCTTCGAGTATCCGTACAAAACCTCTGTAATGCAGAGAAGAGACACAATCTCTATTAAAACCGGATCTGCCGCGCATTGTAAACTGGGCCACCGCCAAAGTCTGGGAGCAGAACAGAGAGGCAGAGCCTTGCCTGGGGCCTTTCTCCTAATGGCAGGATGCGACTCCTGCCAGGTCCAAGCTCACCTGAAATCTCCATTTTAAAATCTCCCACCCCCAAATAATGACAGAGAAGGACAGTTTTCAAATAATTTATTAGGAATTTTAAAACTGAAATCTGGAAAAAGGGTTACAGGTGTGGAGAGAACAAACATTGGAGTGTAATAACTTACTGGCTTAAAAACACAGCTTTATTTCTTTTAAAAAAAATGCCCACCCTGAAACCAGAGCCCCAGCCTCCAGGCAGTGGCAGCACTGGCCAGAGAGAGAATCACAGCCCAGCAGCAGCACAGCTGGCCTCGGATGTCTGGAGGGGGCACGGAAGCAGCTCAGCGCCTATACCAAGAGGGAGGAAAGCGCTGTCCGCAGACCCAGATTTGAAGTATATAGAATAAAAATAAACCCAATAAAATGCAGCTCTTCTTTAATTAGGAAATATTTAAAAAAACAGACATACAGACTCTTGTCTCAGTAACAAAAATTATTGCTTTGTGTTTTCAGTACTGATCTGTCAAGTACCCTCTTACCTAAACAGAACTCTCCAAACGCATCGCCCAGGTCAGGACAAGCTCCGGCGGAGGGGGGAGGACAGCAGAGAAGAAGGGCCCTGCGGGCACCGTGGCCCTCCCAGTCCTTTTCTAAAGGCCCCTCTCCCTTAAAGGGACTCAGTTTGGGGGAAGAGAGGGAATGATTTTTAAAACTTAAGATGAAGCTGTTATTTCCCTGGGAAAAGAGTTTGGCTGCATCTTAATGAAAGGCTTAATCACCCCCCTTTAACAAGGTCTTTGGTTCACTGAAATCCAGACCCAAACGTGCCCCGTGTGCTCCCGCCGGAGGCTGCCCCGGGCAGGGGGCTGGTTAGCAGGGTCCCGGACCACGCCAGGGGAAGCCCCGGCAGGCTCCGGAGAAGGGACCAGATCACCCCCGCGCAGGACAACAGACAAATTCCCACAGTCTTCAGAACACAGAGTAAAGCAAACGGGAAGCTGCAATTCTATAATTCGTATAATCCCTGAGAAGCCCTTAACCCACCCCCAAATCACCACCCTAATGCTTTTCTCCCCCCGTTAATGACTCCCCGACCCAGCGCCCTGCCCTTCAGAGAACGACCACCCCCATCTCCCCCTGGCCCTGGCCGACACCCCTTCCGATACCCCTTCCCAGGAAATCTTGACACAAGCGATCGTGTTTGGAGAGTGAATTCCTTTTAAAGTAACCAAGACAAGCAACAGCGGCAAAGCCCTTTACCTAACGCCAGACCAGAGGCTGGCACCACAGAGCCCAGTGATGGAGTCTGTACGTCGAGCGACTGGAAGCAGCTTTAACCCGCTCCCAGCCGATGGCCGGTACGTCTCACCCCCGCCCCCACCCCCCCTTTCATCTCATCAGAGGTCTTAAAATCTTACAGTAAAAGGTGTACAAAAAAAGAACGGAGTCCTGTCAGGATTCTGCTGGAGAGTATTGCTCACGCTGCGGCACCAAGTCCAGGACCTGGAGCTGCTCCTTGGAGCCGGGCTGCAGGCAGCAGCCGGGTTCAGCTCGCGATATTTACATATTATACAGGAGGAAAAAGAAAAAAACCCCACGTAAAACTAAACCTAGGAAAACAAAAAAAAAATCTTTCAGCTGTAAGGATAGTGTTTTTCACTTAGCAAAATATACATTTGTTTTGTTCCATAGCGATGTCCAACGTTTTCGGATCCTTGGAGTTTCACACTTTTCAAAGCCTCACATTTACAAAACAGAAACGATTAAAAACAGTTTCTTTAAAAAAAATAGAAATACATCAGTTCCTCTCAGCCTTTGCTCTCTCTGCATCTCTTTCTTCCCTTCAGAACTGCATTCTTGTTTACATACCGTGCTTTAAAAACACTGACGACAACAACAACAGAGTTGAAAATATTCAAAACAGTTTCAAAGCCAAATAAAAATACTCCTCAATAAAAACTACCTAACACAATCACAAAGCCAATTCATAAAATATGTCTACTAGCTCGGGAAAGAGCAAACAACAAAAAGAAGGGGTAGGCCCCCCAAAAAAGATAAAAAAATAAAATAAAAAAATAAACCTAACAGCTAATAAAATAAATAAAAGAAGAATCGGTGGGCTGGGGGCGGGGAGGGGGGAAGCGTAAACCGTCGGTGGTTAGTAAGAAAGCGAGATGATCTCCTTGGGTTCAGTCCAGTGTGGTCTGGTCAAAGGGAGAGATCAGGGCAGGGCGGCAGGAGCCTGGCAGCCAGCCGGCAGTGTGCAGTTTTGACTCAAGAAAAAGGTAACCTTGGCTCATCCCCCGAGGCTCACCAGATCCTCCAGCTGCCGTCCTCGGTCGGGTCACTGGGGAATCTGTGGGACACAGCCGGGGAGGGAAGGGACAGGAGCTGGAACAACCAACAGCTTTTCTCTCAGGGTTTTCTTCCCCGACAGAAACACTAGATGCCCAAACCTGCCCCAACGCAGACGGGCTCTGCGTCTTGCTGGCAGCGTGACGGGGCACGGCGGAGATGCCTCCATCCGGCTGCCGGGCCGGGGGCGCGAGGCCCCGCACGCCGTGCAGCCTGCCCGCCCAGACCCGTGACGTAGCGCGGTCCAGCTGCTTCCCCAGCACCCAGCTCAGTGCAGCCCTGCCAGCCTGCCACGGGCTCCTGCCTGGACCCCCTTCCCAGCAGGTTTTTGCCCCCCTTTTTGAAAAGCTGGGGTTTTTTTAATTTTAATTTTTAGCCAGCTAACTTCAGCCACATTTGCAAAGCAGACAGAGACCATCCACCAGTTCCCCCTCAGGCCAATCCAAGGACCAGGAACAGAACTGATCAGACTCTGATTTTCCTTCTGCCCTTCTCCCTGGCAGGAGAGGAAGCACCTCGCTCCCCAGGGACAGTGGTCCCAGCAGCAGTGAGAGCCACCGGCTGCGCGGAGGAGGCTTCCGCAGTCCCGCAGCTGGGCCAGGCTTGTCTCTCAGGATCACCACCGGGCTGTCACTCTGGCCAACCCGGCAGACTTTTCCTCTTTCTGCCAGTGTTCCCATTTCCTTCCTCTTCGCGCCCAGACACTAAGTCACCTCTCCACAGCCCTCGGCCGGGGCGGAGGGACCCCACCCGCCAAAGCCTCTGGTGCAGAAGAGCCCCAGGCTGGCCACAGGACCGCTCCCGCAGCCTGGGCCAGGCCGGCGAGCCCTGCCGCCGCACCCACAGCTCCTGCCGAGAGCCCAAGCACAGGGGTCAACTCAGAACCGCGCTCCCCGCACTACCCGCTGCTGTTTGAAGCTCTTACCTCCTGCCTCCTTGGTCCCCAGCTTCAGTGATACCCATTGGTAAAAGCTGTTGCAATCAAGGGACCCTGCCAAGAGAGAGTTAAAACCCCGCTCTTAAACAAAAGTGAAGAATTACTACCACAACAAACTCAGTCATGGCCCAGATGTTGGAAAAGCCAGCGTCAGTTGGAGGTGCTGGGTCTGAAGATGACATCACCCTGCAGGACACTGCGTCAGGGCCAAGAGGGGCTCTTGGAAAGTCTGGGCCAGATCAGGGAAAGGTCTGGAGATCAGGACCTCGAGTGGCGGCCAGGGAGAGCCAGCGGAGCCCAGGGACGCGGGCTCCAAGCGAACTGCTGCATCCTGCACCGGCCCTCTGCTGTCTGGGGCTCAGTGGTGGCATGGCAGATGCCAGAAAGCAGGCTGGGGGCTGAGAGGGGGCTGCCCTCCGCTGCTCTCCTCCATCACCACGTGGAGATGCCGCCCCTTCCCGTGGCACCCTCCATCTTCCCCTCCCTGCACAGAGCCCGGCGGGGAACACTCACCCCTAGGCTGTGGCCAAAGCCGGTGCTCGGGGCTGGGCTGGCAGCGCTGATGTAACTGCTGACCCCTGAGTCCTGGTTGGCGGCTCCGTAAAGCTCTGCCATCGGCCCCGGGCTGGTGGTGCCCAGAAACCCACCGGTGCGGCTGGGGGTGGAACCTACGGGAGGCAGCAGAACTACAGAGTGAAGATCCCAAAAATGCAGCCCCGTCCCACCCCCCTCCCGCAGCCCGTCGCAAAACCCCGTGACAGGACACCGCGCCGGGGAGGAAAGTGGCAGTTACCTGTCCCTCGCACCACGGCCGCCGCAGCCGCTGCTGCCGCCATTGGTCCATACGCAGTGAGGGGGATTGCTGCAAAAGAGGGAACAGGCATCTCAGGGGAAACTCCTCGACGGGAGCCTTCATCTCCCGCTGCAAAACAGCAGGCCCGCACAGACGCATCGGCTTAGTGCATCACACAGGACATCAAAGGATGACAACAGGGAAGTGACAGCCCTGCATTTCTTGGTAGCTTTTTGCACAGCGAGTGTCCGGGGCAACTCGCTAGCCGGGCTCTGCTAAGCCCACGCCGCGCAGCAGCCGAGGGCACGGCGTGGAAGAGCTGAACCAGAGGCGGGCAACTGCAGACGTATCCCGTTGCTCCTCAGCTTGCAGGATGCAGCTGATCTGAAGCTACGGAGCCAGATTTTGGCTGTGAGCGTGGAGAAACGCAGCAGCTCGGGGACAGCAGCTGACAGCTCAGCGTCCTGAGGCTCAGCCCCTCCTCTCTGTCCCTTGGTGCTATTCTCGAGTAACAGTTTAATAGCCTCTTTCTCCCTGTTTCTCTGCCTAAGACACGCCATGCTCCCCACGCTGAGTTTTGCTCCCGAACTGCTCAAAACCTTGCTGTTCATTGTAGAAGAGCAGGAAACATACACCTAGGGAGCAGGAACTAGAAATAGCTTAATTAAAACAGTAAGTCTTAATTTGTATGTAGTAGTTCTAATTCCCAACTCTACTGCCGCAGGCATCCAGCCCTCAGCCAGCCCCTGGGGCAGGAGGCATCTAGCCAGTACGTTTCTCTTTGCCCTTAAAATGACTGGGTCAGCATTTCATGCTTGAATGTGAAATTCGCTGTGATTCTGTTTAGAGCACCATAAAAAGAGGTCAGAACAAATCAATTGCGTTAAGGCTGGAACCCAGACTAGCTTATGAGGGAATATTTAGTAGCAGGCACCAGCCTGTTTCCAGCAAACGTCACACGAGGCTTCTATCTGGGTTAGCCGCTCATTACAGGCCCTGGGCCAACGTCAGCGTGTTGCTGCTTCGCATCAGCCCCAGAGATGCTGCTCCGGGGAGGAAAGGCTGCTGGCAGCCACCCTCTGCCCCACCATTGCTTCAGGTCCCTAAAGCACAGCTGAACGAACGCGGGCTTACCGAGAAAGGCAGCCAGGCCCTCTCGAAAAGACCCCAGTTCTTCTTCCAGGAAAAACTCTCCTTGCCCTCGCAGTCTGTCTACTGAGACACCAGGTTTGCGCTGCGATGGCAAAGCTCCCCGCGCGCTGGAAGCAATCATCCCTGCTTGTGTTGTCCCCCCTCCCCGTTTCCGCTTGCCAAGGCCGCACAGCGCAGCCCATTGACGCGCACGCACCCACTTGAAGGCACGAGGGCCCTCCAGCGCTGCACAGCTCGCTGCGCCTTTGTGGGAACCGAGGGGGGGCCCTGCCCTTCGCGGGACCAGCTCCAGCCGACCCATGGGAATCGCAGCTCTCGGCCTAGCCAAGAGGCTGCACAGCGACTGTTTAACAGTAGGTAAGCGTGACGGGAAGGGAAGAATGCCACGATCCCCAGCTGGTACTCCAGAGAGACACTCGGGACTGCAAGCTGACGTGGCACCCAGCCAGGACAGCAGCATTAATAACGTCTTGTTGTACCCAGCCCTGGCCCCCCCCCCCAGCCGGTGACAGCCAGGCCCCGGGCGATTCACCTCTGCTAGGAACGGGCACGGAGCAGCTGGGGATGGACCTCGGAGGGAAAAGCACTTTTGCCAAGTCACCGAGATTCCTCTACAAATTTTATGGGTTTTGCTGAAACGCGCACGTCTAAATAAGTGACTGGACCCACCTCTCCTTTGCTTGGCAACCAAAAGGCTCGGAGGTGGGGGTCAGGTGCTTATGCAGCTGCACACAGGGTGTCAGGGACGGTGTTATTAAGAGGGAGCTAGGGTTCGGTCTCCCTCTACCTTCCTTGGGGCAATTTGTTCACTGGTGGCCGCCAACCTCAGCATCCTCGGGAATGGACACTCCCTGAGGATCGACATGATTCTGTGCCACAGAAACCCCCTTTCAAGCCTGTTGGTGCTAGTAATTGCAGGAGAGCTTCTCAGGAAGCTTTTCCACGCCCCCACTGCAGAGAGATTCAAACCCTGAAACAAGTGGGGGCAAGGAAGCGCCGGGGAGGAGGAACACTACGGAAATGAGATGGCACATGGGGAGCGGGGTGCTACACAAAGCTGCTTTTCTACGACAAAAACCATGGACACGACAGAGCTGGGGAAAACATGGCCATGGAAGGGAAAGTAGACAGAAGGAGCATCACCTAGAGAGGACACACTGCACACAACCCAGGGGCTGCAGATCCAGAGGGTATTTGCACCGTGAGGACACTGAGCCAGGACTAGTCTCTGGAAAATGGTCCTCTGCCCCCGTTTCATACCACAGTTCCCTACGAGCACTGCAGGACTTTTGTAGAGCCCCACCAAGCTCGCTTCTGCCCGGGAAGTCCATCTGGGAGTACCTGGGGAGGGGCACCATGCAGAGCAGGGAAAGCATTCCCTGCAGCCCCTCCTGCGCAGGGAAACGGGATGGGAGTAACCAGGAGTGCCCCCACACCCTCCCCCTCCTCCCAGCACTCCAAATCTCATCCTCGCAGCAGCTCAGGTTAAAGTCATTTGTAGACCTTTGAGAAGCCACTCTGCTTTCTGCAGTTTTCCGTATCCGGTTTATACCCGGCCTGGGGCAAGGAGCTAAAAACGAGGCAAGCAGCAGGAAACGCCAGCTAAGGACTGCATGCCTTCATCTGGTATTGCGTTGCCCTTCTCGGAGGCAACACACATGGCTCTGATTGCCTCTCCATCTTTCCAGCCCCAGCTCTGGACGGAGCTCGTACAGATGGAAGAGGAAATTAGGAACGTTTCCAGTCTAACTGCGCCAGGCTGCGGAGCAGGACACCACTGGAGCAGCCCAAAGCCCCCTTCTCCCCTTCCAGCTTGTGAGCGTAGGAAATGAGCGGGACTGACCTGTGAGCTCAGGGAGGACGGGGGCACTCGGGAGAGGGGTCCGCTCTACACGGAACTCTAAAAATGAAATGCAAGACAGCTTAGGAACTCACCGAACGCCCCGAGGGAGACCCCGCAGAGAAGCAGCAGCCCGGGTCTGCTGGGGGAGCAGCCTGTGGCCAGACTGCGACCAGACCAGTGGCTCCTTTAAACTAATTTATAACTGGTGCTGAAAGGTGCTGGACTCCTGCCCTGGAGACTGAAAGGATCCATTTACCCTTAGAATAAATCTGGGCAAGGCAGGGCAAGCGCAAGCTTCACTGCGCAGCCTCGGGTCAGCAGCCCACCCAGCCTGACCTCTCGGCTGCAGTGCCCGTAGGTGCTCAGCACATGCCCCACTCATCTGGGCACGGGTTTACAAGGAGGCACTTGAAGCCCCTGCAACTGAGACCTGTAAACTGGATTCATGGAGAGCTTCCAGACAGCTGGGAGGCAACAGCAACTTTCAGCCACAGTCAGCCTGGGCTCGCCTCAGGCGACAACGAAACTTCCCATTCCCAGCCCCTAACAGCAAGACTTCATGTATAAACCATCACACTGAGGGATGGAGTAAGGAAGGGATGCTCGGAGTTGCCACTTCTCTAGAAAATAGCAAGACAGTCTTTTCCCTGAGTGTGCTCTGCCTCGTCACCCTGCCTCGCAGGGAGAAGAGGCCCCAGAAAGCTCTGAGCAGCTGCGGCACAGCAGCTTCCAGCCGTTGATCGTAGAATCCACCTTCTGGGTTCAACCCATGGGGGCTTGAAACCACCCAGTTTGCGGGGGACCTGCAGCCCACCACCCCAGCAGATGCTTTCTGGAGGCTGGGAGTGGTGCCGGTGCCGTTTGGAACACGACCGCAGCGTTGCAGGCACCTGTGTTTCAGGTGCCTAAGAGCACCGGCCCACGGAAAGCCACGTTTTAAAATCCTATGCTAGTTTCAGAGCGGTGGCAACTCTGGTAAAGAGCGACAGACACACACAAAGGCAGCGGGACAGGCAGAGCTGCAGGGGCCCTTCTGTGTCACAGCAGCAGCCCTACGCAGGAGGCGAGCATGAAGGGCGTCAGAGCAGCCTTGGGCTTTTCCTGCCACGGGAGCGTGAGGATAATCCTAATGAAGGGTAGGCTGTTCCCACCTATTCCAGGGCGTCTCCCCTCCCCCTTCCACATCCGGCTCCAATTTAAAGCAAGACCAAACAGGGGAAAGGGGCAGAGCCCGGGTCACGGATCATGCCGGGGACTCCCGTCACCTGAAGGCAGGCCGAGAAACCAAGCAGGGAGCCCCACTCACCAGGGAACTGGTAAGTGTAGCCAGGCGCAATGCCAGTGTAACTTCGACTCGCGTAGGTGGCAGCTTGGAAGCCTGGATAACCTGGGGGAAGAGAAAAGGGCTCCGTTACTGTGAGCTCACAGGGTCCATGTCCTCAGTGCATGACCATTAGCGTCAGAGAGCACAAACAGGGCTAAGAGCACAAACTGAAGCAGAGGAAGTTCCGTCTGAACATGAGGAAGAACTTCTTCCCTCTGAGGGTGACGGAGCCCTGGCCCAGGCTGCCCAGGGAGGCTGTGGAGTCTCCTTCTCTGGAGATATTCAAGACCTGCCTGGACGCGGTGCTGTGCAGCCTGCTCTGGGTGACCCTGCTTCGGCAGGGGTTTGGACTGGGTGACCCACAGAGGGCCCTGCCAACCCCCACCATTCTGTGATTCTGTGATTCTGTGAGCAGAAACGCCAAGAAATCGCTGGGCAGAGCACACGATGCATGCCAGTCTGCTGAAGAGGTTTAGCAGGCCCGTTTCATTTTTTCCTCCCTCCAAACATGTAAGGACACGGAGATTTCCTTCTCAGAAACTCATAGCTCGGCAGACTAAGCCTTTCTGATGCATCAGCTGGATTTACAAATAGGAGGAGGTCAGGGAGGTGGGAGCGCTTGAACGGCTGAGTAGCTCTGAATCACTTTTGCACTAGAAGTGCTGGCGAATGCAGTCAGAGAGCTTCTTCCTGGTGCCGGGCGGGAGGACAGTTCCTGCTGTTCCCCGGGAAGCTGACCACCTCTACAGAACAAGCCTGTGAGAACACCGGGCACTGATTCAGAGATGAATGTTTGATCTGAGATCTCCCAAGACGTGAGTACGTGGATTTCCCCGTGACTCAGCTTCAGCCTTGCTGCTTTAAATTCAGACGGCTTAGAGAAGGCAAAACCCAAAACCACAGGCTGGAGATTTATTTTCCTTCAATAAGTCAAGTGAAAACACTGGGGGAAAAAATGCCCTTTTTGGGGTTTTGTTTAATGACTAACTGCTACTCGCCAGGCTTAGCAAGGGGAGCCAGGCTGAGTATGCCCTGCCCAGCAACACCAGCGCTGACCCTGAGCAAACAGCGTGCTCCTGGTTCAGCTCAAGCCTGGCCAGAACGAACAGAGGGATGGAGAGAAGCAGGGAGCAGCACCCACGCTGGACTCTCAGATCCACGCTCAGGGGTTTACAGACCTGGGAATGGGGGCTACAAAGGACTTTTTTCATCTTTTATCTGAACAAGTTTGCCTTGGAATCACGGACAGGCGTGAAACCCAGCCTGCTCATCACCAATTTCTCCTTACAAGATAGCCTCACAGTAAGCATATGGTTTTCCTTGCAATATCGGGTATGTGCTGCCCCTGAGAGGGAGGGAAAAAAGTGAGACAAAGCTTAGCTAGAACTTTCAGGGCATTTTTACAGCCTTTAAATGGCAGCGAGGACATTTACATGGACCGCTGTTTCAAGTGGGAGCTTGGGGGCTCTTCAATCACAGAATCATAGAATGGTTTGGGTTGGAAAGGATCTTAAAGATCATCTGATTCCAACCCCCCTGCCATCAGCAGGGACATCTCCCACCAGACCGGGTTGCTCAGAGCTCCATCCAACCTGGCCTTGAACACTGCCAGGGAGGGGGCAGCCACAGCTTCTCTGGGCAACCTGAGCCAGTGCCTCACCACCCTCATGGGGAAGAATTTCTTCCTAATCTCTACTCTAAGTCTGCTCTCTTTTAGTTTACAGCCATTCCTCCTTGTCCTATCACTACACACCCTTGTGAAAAGCGCCTCTCCATCCCTCCTGTAGGCCCCCTCCAGGTACTGGAAAGGTCACCCCAGAGCCTTCTCTTCTCCAGGCTGACCAGCCCCAGCTCCCTCAGCCTGTCCTCGTAGGAGAGGTGCTCCAGCCCTCGGATCATCTCCATGTCCCTCCTCTGGCCCCGCTCCAACACAACTCATCAGAAAGCCTGTAGAAGTGGGGGCTGGAGACGCCTGGACACAGGTTACTCCACGCTCGGTTCAGCTACGTAGTTACATCCCATTCCACCGGAGCAGCTCGGGGATCACAGTCTCCGTGCTACGGCACAGCAGGACCGTTGTGGACGGGCAGAGGGCCAGCGCAGCCTTGTCACCCAGCTCCGTCGCAGGGCAGTGGTGACAAGCCTGCAGATTTCCCCGGTGCCACCAGAGGGCAAGTGGTGACCACTGTTTTTTTACCCCCCCCCCCTGCCACAAGAATAGAAGGATCAGGCTCGGCTGCCACCGGCACAGGGTGATGCCACCATGACGGAGCTCCCCAGCCCTGGCCACCACCGCCAGCCCGTCCTGCCGTCCTTCCCTAGCGTCCCTGCCCCCGGCCAGCCTTCCCCCTTGCTCGGCAGCCACCACAGGCAACAGGGAGCCCAAACACTGCTGTTCGCTGCCCTGGACGCTCTGCCTCAAGGCCTGATTCTCCTCATTTCGGGATAAAGGCAAAACCTGCCCCCTCCCAGGCCACCGAGAGGTTTCACACAACTTTGAAACCCCCAAGGACTGCACAAGTCCTCATTACAGTTACCTCTTCTCCTCGAAAGCTCAGTATCGTGCTGCTTCACCTCCACACTGAGAGTCTCTTCCCCAGACTGGCTGCTGTGATTCTGGGGAAAAGACTCAATCCTGCTCCCCACTGCAGAGAAAGTGTGTCGGGACCCAAGTGCCTCACACCCTGCCCCTGGGCCACTGCCCCCTTCTCCATCCTTTGGCTCTGTCCCTTCTCTCCCAGGCTCTGCCCCAGACACTCACCATTTTGTTGTTGATCTCATGGAAGTGGATTTCACACACTTTTTCCACAATGTCTTCACTTTCAAATGTGACAAACCCAAAACCTGAAGAAAAGGCAAAACTCCTGGATCAGGTCAGAGCTCGGCGCAGCTCGCACCCGCTACCCACATCCTTTTATTGGCAGGAGAAAAGAAGGCGCCACAGACTTCTAGGACGGTATAATCAGCCCTTTCTAAAACGGCTGTCATTCATCTTCCCTCTCCAGCAAAGCCTGCTTTTGTGCACAAGAACAGGAGCGTCCCCTTATAGATTCCCCTTTCCTCCTCATCCTGTACTTCCCACCCTCTCTGAACCCAACTGCTCTCAAAACGAGATATATTTTTTTAAAACTTTGCTGTCTGCAAGGCAAACCACGTGGCTGACAACGCTGGGGAGGATCCCAGCAGACAGCCGCTCACACAAAGAAAGTCGGTGGAGAAACGAACAGCTGCTTGCCAGTCCATCACCATCCTGGCTAAACGCACCCCACCAGCAATAACGCCCTGCACGTCTCCTCTGCGGTCACCGCTCATGAAGCCTTGTATAAGCAAGCAAATATCAGCAATGCCGTTGTACAGAGCAAGACAGATACTCGCAAGCAAAGTGGTTTGCAAAGTTCCACCAAAGGAAGGTAAGTATCTGGGGTAAAACAGGACAGGATGTTCCTGGCCCCTGGCCCGCACTCACACCTCCTTTCTCTCACCACCAACCCCTCTGCTGACAGTTTTGGCAAAGACCAGCTCGGGTGGGCAGACTAAACTCCTCTCAGCTGACTGCAGCCGCTTCCGGAAAACTCGGGCAGGTGGGAGGATGTCTTTAAGCTTGCCTTACAAGCGAGCTGGGATTAAGCAGAGCTTTCCGCTTTCCAGAACTGGCCAATTCCTTGGTGCTTTAAAATAACTTTTTAAAACAGACAGGGATCTGCTACCCAGAACCCCGCTTTTTCTCCATACTGCCAGAAAAGTCTCTCTCTATAAACTCCTCCATCTGTCTATGCCCACAACATTCACCTCAACACCGACGAGCGGAGGGGCTCGGGAGTTCAAGAGCAAAACCCTGATGCCAAAGCCATTCCTGAGCCCCACCAGACCCCTACCAGGCCCGCTGCGGCCTGCACAGAGCCCACGCTGCTGCCATGGCAGCTGGCAGCTCTCCCTGCTCCTTCCGAAATGCCCAACGACTCTTCAACTGGACTACTGACTGCGAAGCAACCGCAGAGGAACAGGGGTTAACACTTCTTCCCTTTTAAGATGAAGCTGGAACAACATCCTAGGCCAGGCAATCAGAGTGGATTTAATGGCTTCAGAAAAAAAGCAAAAACCTGAAGGGCACACAGTGTAAGGAGAGCAGAAGGCAGCGTTCCCTCGCTGATCCAGGGGCAGAGGTGCTTGGAAGCGCTTCCAAGAACACACAGAGACGAGAGCGGCCCAGCACAGGGCTGTTACTGGCCCTGATTCGGAAGACAGCAACGCAAAGTTTGCAGGTTAAGTTGTTGCCGATAAATCTCTGAGCTGATGCAATGCTGCCTAGCGTCGAGCCCGGCCGCGCTCCGGGGCAATCGCTCTGCAGGCTCACCAGGAGAGCGGGAGGCAGGGAAGGAGCCCATGGGTGGGCTGGGTCCGGGCAGCTCAAGCCTTGCTCCCATCCTGTAACCAGACTCCACCAGCAAGACTCGGGTAAGAAAAGGTGACCTGGGAGCATAAGCGGGCTCCGGGCCGAGGAAGGGCCGAGAGGCAGGCACTCCTCAGGCTCTCGTGTCAGCTTTCCGGGAGCTCAGATTACCCGGGACAAGGTAAGACACAGACTGTGAGCTGGAGCCACGGAGGTGAGCGGGCAGGGGAGGGGGCCGCCTCCTCTCACATATCTGCAACTCGGCGAGTTCACGGCACAGGAAACGCGCTGGACAAAAGCCCTCTGTGTGCTGCAAGGGACGCTGGTAAAGGATGCAGATGCGAAAGGATGGGGCGACTGGAGGCAAGATAAAGAGCAGCTGCGACCCGCACGCCCTGCTGCTGGGATGCTAACCCCTCCCCAGGCAAGGCAGGCGGCAAACCCTCTGCAGCTCCCTCTCCTACGGCCAGGAGACTGCTCTCACCTCTGTGTCGGTTGGTCGTCTTGTCGAACATCAGCATCGCGTCGTCCACCTGCGAAGAGAAGAGCTCCGGGTCAGATTGCTGCTGTGGCCGCCAGCACCCTCCGACACCCTGGCACTGAGCTTCCCCTTCCCAAACCAGGGGGGATCAAGACAAGACCTCCGGTCCCCGAGAAGGAAACAGGGTGGGCACGTACGCACGCGTCGGCTGCTGCACCAGGCACGTCCCCTTGCCACCAGCGGCCCGGGTCCCCCCAGCAGCGGGGC